CAAACTTGACCTGCATATTCCTATGACGTATCCATATATCAAATTTGAGTTGAATGTGTACAACTGTTGCCGAGATAATGAATGGAAATTCAATGATGATGGAATGATGGAACAGGGTAACACTATTTACCCCACCTCTGTTAATTTTTTGATGAAATCCTGGCTTACGATTGGTTGAAGTCTGTCACGTGAAGGGGGTGTATTACTTATACCTAGTCGCTTGAAAATCAATACATGGTCGATACGGAGTTATCGTTCTTTTGTAACGTTAGAACAACTCGAGTTCACGCGATTTGCCGAGTGTCTGTTGACAATGTTACAGTAAACTAATGTAAGTAACGAAGATGGAACCTTTTTTTCCTTTACTGAAAGTCTTCAAAACTTTCAGTACGTTATAACAGCACAAAACAATCTCAAAACAACATTACGTCACACAACGTGACGTCATAATAGGCATTGTATGAGTGATGAAACATATATAGAGTGAGGAAAACAATTCTACAAACCACAGACAATGCATAAATATTTTATCGGTGGGGTAAATTCGTTACATAGTTTTTTATTGACAGGGTACGGGATGATACCTGGTTAGTAAATTTCATACCTGGCTCGGCTTCGCCTCGCCAGGTATGAAATTTACTAACCAGGTATCATCCCGTACCCTGTCACTAAAAAACTATGTAACTAATAATCCCCCCCCCGACCATTTTATGGTGGGGCATAAAAATTCTGAAGATTAAGGGGTACCTATATTCTCCTACATTTCAGATGACAAGGTAAGTATTTCTATTCTGCTAAGGCAAATTTTCAAACTTCTAAAAAAAAAAACAAGTTCAAGCTATAGATTTCCATAAAAGAAGTGTTGCAATTATGACTTGGCAATCCATTATTATAATTTTTATTTCCATTTCACACAATAGAATTTGCATCAAAATCAAAGAATGTCTTGATCCCTTTCCTTTAGTGAGAGCAGAAAAAATTAAAATTAGACCCAACTAGATCGCAGTGTGTAGCAATCTTGTTGGAGCGGAATAAGGATCTAATTTTAGTTAGACTGAATTTATTTAAATTTGTTAATTTTTTGTGCGATTTATTAAAGGATAATGACTAGTGCATATTATTGATCTTTGCAATCAATCAGAGTTCAGCTTATTGTATAAAAGACAAGAGACAAAATGTACATAATAAAACCACAGGTGCTTCAAGGGAACAGGAACACAACCCACCCCAACCCTCTAAAATTTTGGGCTTCCCGAGTTATTTTTTGATTTATTTTTTTAAGCATATATGTTGATGTATAATGCACTATAAAAATTCACAATTAATGCATTAATAAGCTATGTATAAAAATATACCAATGATATAAATGGAGAGGTTATTTATATTTTTTTTTGGGGGGGGGGATACATCAGATACCAGAGACATATATATCTCTGGATACATATACATCGGCTTGGCCAAGATCAGGTGCCCATGTTGGTTGCAGATTAACAAAAAAATGAAGTCAAATGAAATGTATTACAAGTATGTTCTATGTAACACTACATCCTTTTGGCAGATTGTCTGAAATTTCTGTCCATTTCTGTCGAGCGGTTAAAAAGATTTCACTCTTACTATAGCAGAGACCCAAGTGGGCTACGGACTATACATATTCAGGCATAACATTTATCTTTATCATATTCAACTTAACAAAAAAAGTATAATTCAAATACAAACTCTTCAGAAAATATTGTCTGAGCGAAAAAACCCACATAATTTTTTTATTTAAATGTTACTGTAGATAAAGGACATGGGTAAATTTGTTAATCTTAGAGAGTTTTTCTACTCTTGATATTTGGACATTTGAAATAAGAATACATTAAAGTTCTTTCAATTTTTCTAAAGATACTGTATATGGGGATGAAAATTTCAAATTTATTTTGTAATACTCAGAGAAAAACTGTGTCAGATATTTTTTGATTGACTATTTTGAGACCTTGGGCTACGGACTATACATATAGTATTTTCAATTAATGAGAGACCATAGAAAAATAGTTGCTTTTTTCAGTAAATATTTGTTAAAATTATCATCTTGGAGTTCACACGTGTTTAATAAATCCTTTCTTTTGGATATTAAATCAATTCATACAAAATCCTGTGAAATTTAACAAAATAAAACAAAAACTTTATATAAATTCACAATAAGAGTAAAATATAAATAGTTAGAACAAAATAATACATGTCAGAATTACATGTAATTGGTTTTTGATAATAAAATATTGTTTAAAACCATCTAAAGACTAAGAATGATTTAATTTAATTTAGCATCTAAGAAGGATGAATTTCATGTAAGCACGGGGGCTACGGACTATATCGTTAAACATATTGATTGTGGACAATCAACTTAAAGAAAATATAATTGTTAAATTAAATTTTGGGCAATGTTTTTATTAATTGGTTTTCTATAACAGTTCACACTACTTAGTTTGAGTATTTATAATACCATACTTAAAAATAAATTGTCTAATGTACTATGTACTTTCAATGCCAAATGAAATTCCAGTTCAACTAATTAAAGCATAATTGGTGTTCAAACTATAATGAATAACAGCAACAGGAGCTGAAATTAAATCAAGGCATGATTTGTGTGTGTGTGTGTGTGGGGGGGGGGGGGGGGGGGGGGAGGGGGGTGTTACGGACTATATTGCTTCATATTTTTTTCCGATTTAATGTTATGCATATAACTGAAGATGGTCATTCAAAAGTTGTATCAATATATAATTTATCATAATCATATGGTGTAATTAAAAAAAATAATTGCAAAACATGATTGACCATTTGAAGTAAAAAACATCAATAGTACAATATAATATTTATCCTTAAAGAATCAATGCTTTTTTTAAAAATTATAATTAAAAATTCAGTGACAAGCAGATTGGGTGGCGCAGTTATAAGAGTAAAGGCCTCACTTTGTACTAAATTGCAAAATAAGGAGTTGATCCTTATGTTTTGGGATCAAATTCCACAATGGGATGTTAAGACTGGTTAATGAGAACTTATAAACCATTAAATACCCATTTTGCAGTAGATACAAGTAGGGAAAAAAAATCTCTTGCTAATACAGAAGTGCGGTTATATGGTCTGTAAATTTGCTAAATTTATTTGTAGAGTCCGTAGCCCTTTTGTAAGTAGGATTTGTGTGGCTAAATAGTCTTTTAAAAATATTCCAATGCTAATCATTGTAAATGGATTGATAGTATGTATCACAAGAAGGAAAACTTTATCATGTATATTTAGAAATATGTTGTGACCACAAACATAACAGGACAGACTACAGAAGCAAGCCTTTAGTTGAAAAAATGTTAATTTTCATATATTTTATTTTTAATTAAAGTGGTATTTGTATTTAAAAACATTGCATTTGTTCAAATAAACATATTTTTGTATTGAAGTTATTGTATCAGTAATGTATATGACTTTTTCTGGAACTTATTATATTGGGGCTACGGACTATACAGGGCTACGGACACCAATCATTCTTCTATAACTTCTTTTTATTGTTTGCGCAAAGCTATATTCATTACTGTTTTTTACTTTACTGGTAACTGAAAATATTAAACAAGAGCATGATTAATTCTACATTCTTTTGTTGAACACAAACTATAATGAAATATGGGGCTACGGACTATACAAAATATTAGACCAGTATGGAAAATAAAATACAAAATGTGCACACATTTTACAATATAACCACTATATTTTTCTCATAGTGCTTATTTTCTTAAGTTAAATAAAAAAAATTAAACAAATTATATTTGCTCTTTTTTGATAGAAATTATGCATTTATTCAAACACTGATAAATCTTAAATTATATAACAAAGGTATATCTGCACACATTTATTCATAATTTCCACAATTTTTATCCTTTTTCTTTTCTGTAAAAAATAAACTTAACCAGAATGATTTCTCTATAATAAAGTACATTTATTTTGGAATGTTTCATTCAAAATAATTTTAATCAACCATTATTTAAAATGTAAAAAATCAAGTGCAACAGCATAACGCTCCAAAAATTATGAATCTTTGACTTTATTCTGTTGTTTTTTTCAAAAATGCAGATACTATATATATGATATTATATACCAATGGAAAGCTCACATTCTGATCTTTGCAATGCAACAAAAGACATTTAGATTAGATGTAACTATAAAGAGTTACATCTATATAACATCATTTAGTTGGAAATGGGCATTTGATCTTGGCCAAGCCGACATGTATAGCTTATTGCATCAATTGTGAATTTTTATAGTGCATTATACATCGACAAATGCTTTAAAAAAATCATGAAAAATACTTCAGAGAGCCATTAATGTTTTTTGGAGAAGTTGCTAACCCCCCCCCCCCCCAATCCTTGTTTGAAATCGTTGCAAAGGGCCGGGGGGGGGGGGGGGGGTCCTGTCCCCAAGCACCTGTGCATTAAAGCATGAGTATCAGAACCTGATGGGGCTAATTGTAGAATTGCTGGTGCTTGGCTGGGAGCAAATCTCCCCACTTTTTTTCCACAAAACAACATTAATTACGCTCAATAAAAATATTCAGCAAAAGTTCACTGTTCAACGGAATAAACCCCTACCCGATTTCTCCGACTTGATTTCGACGAGGATGTTAATTAAAGTAGTCTTTAAATTTGACCTATTTTACAATATAACTTAAATAAATATGACAAGTAATTCAGTATTGTCTAGATTTAAAATTAGAAACAGCTGATTATTTCAAAAGCTGAGAAAATTCGGTCCATCGCAGTTGAGATTATTGCTAGCCTACTTTCGTTTTCCTGAATATAAAGACTTTAGCATGTTTATCAACAAAGTAGTCATTATCCTTTTGTTGTTTCAAACAAGGGATTTAGCATTTCTTTCTACATACTTCATTCTGGGATTGGGCATGCTGAATCTATTCCAGAGGCAGAGATCTACCGTATATATGATCATCAAACATTACACTTCCTGCCATGTGGTGTCTAGCCTCGCTTTCGTATTATAAGGGAGGAATAATTAATTCATTTTAAGGATAACTTGAAAAGAGATATCTCTTTCATTAAGAGAGATATCTCTTTAACTTAGAAAGATATCTCTTTTTGAAAATCTAAAGAGATATCTCTCTTACTTAAAAAGATATCTCTTTTAACGTTGTTAAGGAGATATCTCTCTAACTTTAAGAGATATCTCTCTCGCTTTAAGAGATAGCTCTCTAGCTTAAAAAGATATCTCTCTAAGTAAAAGAGATATCTCTCTTGCAAAAAGAGATATCTCTTTTGTTTATAGAGATATCTCTCTAGGTTATAAAGATATCTCTTTTGGTCAAAGAGATATCTCTCTTGGTCAAAGAGATATCTCTTTTAGTTAAACAGATATCTCTATAAGCTAAAGAGATATCTCTCTAAGCTAAAGAGATATCTCTCTTATTGAAAGAAAAAAAATTATTTTACGAATAAATAGTAAAAGGGCTTGCCATACACCCGCCGTGAACCCTATGTATTTATCAGGTAGAAGGAACATTCTGTAGTCAAATACACTAAAAAAACAAAGGCCTAACAATTGGTATGAAACATGTCATCCAAAGCATGACCCAGTGATAAGTTGTATTTGCTGACAAGGTCATTAAAACGACCATAGAATTTACGAAATACTGACTTTAACCTAGGTTGTTGAAATCCCTGTAACATCAACATATCTGTCAGTAGCCTACCTTGTTTGAAAAATTTATCATACTCGAAGAATGCTCTTGAGTATCGAACAAGTTGGGAGATGTAAACACCATATGCAGTTGTTCGCGGGACATTACTAAAGAAATAAGAAGATTTGATGATGGAAAAGCTGAAGCCATCTCGTTTGTCATACAATTCTGTTGTTGGTTTGCCCTTATCGCCCATAGTCAGTAAAACATCCCACTTGTTTTTAGACCTGGTCTCCAATTAGGAATTCCAGCATTCTTTTAATTTCACCTACAGAAGTACTTGTTTGTAGAATCAGAGTGATTTTAACAAAGTAATTTTGTTGATGACCAACCTATGCAAAAATTTCCGACTTCCATTTTTATTGAAGTTGTCTATGATATCAAAAAGCATAGTTTTTAATTTTTCGTAAGGAATGGTTGTATAAAGTGTAGAAAAGTCGTAAGTTTTGATGTTACTGACTTTTGAAAAAACTGGCGATTTTAATTTTTCTAAAAGTTCCATTGAGTTTATGAGAGCCAACATCTGACTTACAATACTTCTGAGATCGGTATTGTCTGCAATTCCGTCCAAAAGCATCAAATCGGAACAAAATGCAAACTTGATCTATAACTCATCAAGACTGACTCGCCTACCAAATATGCGTGTGTCTAGATAAGAAAAATGGGACGGACTGACTGACTGACATAGTTGGACAGGCAGACAGATGGAGAGAAAACCTATAGTCCGCTCCAGTTTCTAGGGAAGCCCGTAGATATAACGAATTGTCGAATTTGTTATAACGAATTTAATTCGTTATAACAATTTCTTTGAATTCGTTATAACGAATTCAACATATTTGCATTTAAGAGTTTTACTTTCGTTAACAAATGAAAAACAAGTGCAATCATCGCTTGATTTTTTTTTTCAATATCGTTACGGTACTATTCATAACCAACTTTGGTACATAAAATCAAACACGTACTTAAATAATTGAGTTTTATATTACATCTATTCTAAATGTACAAATTCCTTAACGTTGTTACATATTTTCAATTACTGTAAAAAAAAAAAAAAAAAAAAAAAAAAGGCCCTATGTGCCACTGTGCACGAGGCAAGTTGGTAACAAGTGAAAAAAAAAAGGAAATTTATTAAGTTCATAAAAGCTTTGAATATTTAATTTTGAGGTTTTAAATATATGAAAAAATAAATCAAAATCAACATGCCTCGTTGAAAACAAGCACTTTTTTCAATAACACAAGTAAGTAGACTAAGGTATGACCAATTTTTTTAAAACTATTGTACAAGTGACTTACCCCATATAATATTGTTGATTATGTGCAGATACCCGATGGGCATGGTCATAATGTCAACTCGGGAGCTACGCTCCTTCGTGACATTATGACCACACCCATCGGGTATCTGCACATAACCAACAATATTATATGGGGTAACTACTACATACATTTAACTTGCTAATATGTACAAATTAAATCCCTATTTTGTTAAAATCACGTGTGCTGCGAAGTTCTAACTAAGGAGGTCATCTTGGATTTGGCACTAAACGTCAAATATTTATGCTAGCTCTCCGTTCAAGAGCGTAGCTTTACGTAGAGGCTACGTACATGTAGCAGTTATGCTGTTGAACACACCCCCTGGGGTGACGCTTGAAATAAACTCTTTTTGTACCAAAAATAAGTTATCCGAAATCTAACAGGGGCTACGCTAGCTGTCCATTCAATGAAGACCACCACCTAACGTTAGCTGACTAGACTGAAGCTAGCCGTTAGCTGATAGGTTAGCCGCTGCTATCTTGAATAGCCCTGGTATTCGAATGAGGCATGTGAAAAAAAGTGCTCTCTCTCTCTCTCTCTCTCTCTCTCTCTCTCTCTCTCTCTCTCTCTCTTTCTCTCTAAGTGCAGACTGGTGTTTCCCGCTTCATTCAAACAGAATTTTTTTCCACTCCAATATGCGCATCATTGTATAAGACTGGATTTGTGAGTGGATTGAAAAATTCAGCATGGATGTCGTCCATCTTTATTTTATTCTGTGTATATAGATATCTATACATTATATATATGTATAAACATTCATCGATTTAAACCTAATATACTAGTATAGACTTCTTAATTATTTGCATGTATAGTCATTACATACACACACACAAACAAATCCACGAATTCAGACATATATATACACGATCGATCTTAAGGATAACTTTGAGTCGGAAAGAATCCTTAAAAGTGGTCCCCATTCTAGGGTAAGGTAACTTACACGAGCAGGGCGATGTTCCTTCCCATGACTGATCTTGATGCACACAGGTCATATCGAAGGTCCTAGGTGGCATTTGACGTGTACATTCAAATGAAACAATCAGTCTGTTTCCTTCACAAAGTACGATGTACCTGTAAGTCCACTTAGTGCTATCGTATAAGCAGTTGGCTTTTCCTGAAATTATTGTCAACATTGAAAGTTGCTGCCTCTTTATTTTTGGTGTAAAAATTATAGGAGCACATTTGCTCATCATAACTATGCACTTGTTTATCTCCTCAATACCCAGAGCAGACAAGATTATTTAATAGAATTAATACAATTTGAATATATTATCAATAGATCCTCACCCTTACACCAGAACATCTGACCCCGGGGCCATGAAACTCACAATTCTGGAAGAAGCACTCTTGCTCACCATAACTATACACATAGTTTCTTTGCATTATAAACAGGTCCAGAAAAGAATATTAATTTTTCAAAGAAAAATCAATAGAGCCTCCCTCCCTCACTAGAACCCCCGACTCTGTGGCCCTGAATTTCGCAAATTTGGAAGAGGCATTCTTACTCATCATAAACATACACTTAGTTTTACATAATACCCAAGAGAGGAGAAGAAGATTTTCAAAGCATTAATGCATTTTCACTATATAACCAATAGGGTCCTGTCCTAAAACCAGAACCCCTGACCCACGAAATTTACAATTTTAGAAGGGCGCCCTTTCTCATAATAACTATGCATTTAGCTTGTGTGCTTAATATTTAGGAGCACAGGAAATGAATTTCAAAGTATTAATTAATTTTCACTATATAACCCCCCTCCACCCACTGAACCCCTAACCCTGGGTCACACATTTCACAATTTTTATAGAGACACCCTAGTTCATCATAACGATGCATTTAGTTCATCGGCATAATAGCCAGGAGCAGTGAAGGAGACTGTGAAAGAATAAACGTATTTTCACTATATAATCAATAGAGCCCCGCCCTAACATCAGAACCCTTGACCCAGGGCCATGAAATTCACAATTTAGGAAGACGCACCATTACTCATCATAACTATGCAATTATTTTGTTTGTTGAATATCCAGGAGCAGAAAAGAAGATTTTTAAAGAATTGATGCATTTTCACTATATATTCAACATTGCCCCATCCTAGCGCCAGAACCCCTGACCCTGGGGCCATGAATTTCACAATTTTGGTAGAGGACTCAATGCTTATTACAATCATGCCAACAGTTTGACTGCTTGATGTCCAGGAATAAAGAAGAAGATTTTTAAAGATTGCATTCGTTTTTATGGTTTTAGCTCCACACCTCAGGCCCCAGGGGGCAGGGGCCATGAATTTCTCAATTTTTGTTCTTCTTCACCTATAGATGCTTTATGCCAAAATCTGTTATAATTGGTGTAGACCTTTCAGAGAAAAAGCTGAAAACCATCGTCGCAAGCCACGGGTTTTGTGTCCATTCTATTTCCACAAACCCCTGGCTGCCTCCTACCAAATTCTCTCGTTCTCGCGACTGAATCATTGAATATTTATTAAGTGACGTCAGATTTACCTTGACCAATGAAATCACTCTGTAGCAATTTTTGGTACGCTTAAAGATAAGATAAGATAAGATTTATTGATCCCAATTTGGGGCCCCTCAGGGCATACAAGTAAAGAATTATATACACAAGAAGAAATTCAAAATTGATAGTAACAACATGTCGATATTAAGAGAAAAGAAAAGAAACTAACTAAAGAAGATGATGATGATTATAGCAGATGGGGATTGCCAATAATAAATGCTTTAAAAAATATTTATATATATACATATATATAATTAGCAAACGTACAAAGATTTGTAACATGTATATTTGTACTAGAGTATTAATAATTTAATATTATTACTCTTTTGCATTTATTTGGTTCTTTTTAACATTATATAATTCACTATTTCTTATTTTAAAAATATTGATTAGAAAATTACCCAACTTGATAAGCAATATATCATTCTCATTAGACATAATCCACAAAAATTTTTCTTTATTTG